GAGTAGAAAAAAAAAACTGTAAAAAAAGAATAAAGAAACAAAGTGCGATAAAATTGGATATCTTACGTGGTAGGATGACAGCAGATTAGTGATGTTGCCGTGTTGCTGTACTGCTGCTGTCAGATCCCTCACCTGCTGTGGAGTCATCTTCACCTTGATAAGTCCCAGTGTGTCCAGATGAGGAGCGCAGCTCAGAAGTTGAATTACGCTGCTGACTCCTTCACCCAGAAGAGGATTGACTGACAAGCTGAGCACCTCCAAGTATGGAGCTTGGTTTAAATTCTTGATGAACTCCACAGCAGGTGATGAGGTTACATTGATACCATGGAGTACTAGTATCTTCAGTTTGTGTGTTGGTTGCATGCTCCTTATCAGAGACCCTGTTACCTCTGCATCGTACACTTCACCTCTCTGACCATAAATCACTATCCCGTGTGGAGCGGTGATAAACGCCATCATCCCACTCAGGAGCTCCACATCTGACCTGTCCACATACCAAGCATCAATCTCCCGAACCCTGGAGAGACCATGGCGCTTTGAATTGCTGCTGCTGCTGCTCTCTTCCCTTGACTTATCAGCATTCACTTTTGTCTTCTTTGTTGTGTCTTGTTTACTAATAAGCGCCTTAGTTATAGAAGGAAGAAAAGGAATGTCGCTAAACGTATTTTTTAAAATTTGAGCTAAATAAAGGTGAGTGTTGTTTTCTTCTTTCTTTAAAAAAAATTCATCTATGCTACGACATGTTGAGTTGCTTAAGAATTCTGATGCTTTCTTTTCTCCTCCACAGTTGACAATAACTGCGTTTAATTGCTGTGATAACATTTCTAAATTACCATAAATTTCTAATTCCTGCTCTGTAGAAATTCTATAATTATGTTTATTGAAAAAAACGTAGTTGGGTGTTTCGGCAGTTTGAACTAATTTTTCACGTACGATAACATTTAGCTGCTCTGAACTAATTACAAGAATTCCTCCTAAGGAGGAAAGAAATGTAGGAAAGAGGTTTTTTCTTGTCTCAGCTGAGCAGGAGAAAAATAACTGATTACAAAGATTAATAAAATCTGCTTGTTCCCCTGACAAGTCCTCCTTCGACGGTGTTTCGTTGTCGAATCTGAACTCTGTCGGTTCGCTCTTCATTCCAATGTGAATCACAATCTCGCGCGCAGCTTCTCCTGACAACTGAGCAGCAAATTTTAAAACCTCGCACATCTTTTCGATCTTTTTAACTGAGTCCAACTTTAAGAGGGAATTTGTACTTTCAGCCTTTTTAGAAGTCAGCTCTTCTTTCAGGAATTTCCCAGCAAGGTATTCTTGTACGGATTTGTGAATAAAGTACACGCCTTTTTCAGGATTCAAACTCGCCACATTTAAAACCTGAAAGAGGCCGACTTCAATCAGTCTCTCGATCAAACTGTAGCTAGGTAACTGATAAACAGGGAAATAAAGCTGTCCTTGCAAAAGGGCTTCAAAGGCCAAGCGTCCTAATGCGTGTAATTCATCTGAGTAATCTTTAACAACCACTGATTCAGCAGGGTGTTTTTCACGCAAGTGATCAAACAAAGTCTTAACAAACTGGGCGAAGATGTCTGCGCGTTCTTTTGGTCGTTCTTCGCGTTTTGTTTTTGTCCAGAGTAAGCACAACATTAACATCAAAAGGGGAATTTGTGCTAGTTCTCTTAGGTCGTGCTCCTCCAAGTATTCAAAAAAAGCTCCAACATCTTCATCATCTTTCAAAAATCTACGAGCGAACTCTTCTTGGCGCTGATCATTAAAGCCGTCAATTTTAAATTGAGCATCACTAAAATTTCTCAACGTCTCAGCTTTCATTTCCCTTGAAGTAATTACAACACAACAATCCCTTAATTGGCTTTTTTTCCAGATTTTGAAGACAGGCGACTCGTTTTTTGAACTGTAAACATACTCATCGTAGCCGTCCAAGATAAGCAAGACATTTTCTTGATGACGACAAACGTAATCATACATGTTGTTTACGGAAATTGCACCATTACTATCCAGCACTTCAGAAGCCCTCAGAATTGACGGAACATCTTGGAGATTACTAACGTCACGTAATCTCACCAGAAGGACAAGATCAAATTCCCCTAATGTTTCTGAATATCTCTGCCGGGACCAGTCAAAAGTTGCTTTCTTCGTGAAAACAGTCTTGCCGATACCTAGGTGACATATATGCACAAACTATCAATACGTCTTCAACAGAATCATGTGAAGTCACGTGTCGCTCCATATAAGGGAATTTGGATTCCAGGATCTGGGAAATAGTTTTTATGTGGAATCCGAAATCCTGTGCCTTGGAATCCGGAATGAAGCTGCAGGAATCCGGAATCCCACTAACAATTGGAATCCGAAATCCGGAATCCAAGTTCCAGAAGTTCCAATGAAAGAGATCTGGAATCCAGTAATTGAAATCCGGAATCCACGATGTGCAATCCAGAATCCAAGACTGTCTTGGATTCCCTTTTATGGGGCGACACGTGAAGTGGAATCTAAAATTTATAATTTTCACGAAACTACGAGCAGTAAAAAGGACGACCGCTTGCCGTCTAAGAGAATTTATTTTATTTTATTTTATTTTTTTGCGGAATTATGTCTAAACGTTTTATGCCATATGCAGAGTGAACAACACTAGGGTAGCCTTTGACTTAAAGGTTATTCCAAAAAGATGTTTCTCTGCCTCTAAGGGGGTATTTTGGAATTCTTAGCTTTGATTAAAGACCAGAGTTACATTCATCGATAATGGTATCTCATTTACGTATTCAAAAGTATTCATGATAAAGACAATGGAAATGAATCCTTCACAAAAGTGTGAAATACACAGACTATTTAGGGCCTGCATGGTTGTTCAAAACTGGGTTATCTAGGTTAGTGCGAAATTTGAATTCAGATATGAAAGCTTTAAAAGAAAATTGAGTTTAATTCCTTTTGTCTGTAATTTGATGATTAGATACTCTAAAAAGAATAGAGAAAATTATCTAAGAAATTGCTTTATCCCCAGGTTAGCGCGCGCGATTCGCCTTCAAACAACTGGGCCAAACTGCCACTCATTAGTCTACTGTGAAGGTTGTGGTGCAATTTTATGATTGGAAGTTTTATCCTTTTACCATACATTTAATGAACTTAAATTTCAGATAATTTTATCTGAAATTACCATTATTACGGCATTAATTAAATCCTACAGTGTATGTATTGTTCTAAAAGAACTTTACTTAAACTATTAATTTATTTTTCACAGGAACAGACCAAACTTTCCATTGGGTTTGACAGCATGGAAAAAAATTACCCCACTTGGAATGGACATGTCAGCAAAACACTCAAGAAAACTGCACCATTGCATTCGCTAACAGGTGTGTAGATGTATTATGCCAGTGAACGAATAGTTCCTGTGTTCCTGCTTGTCGTCGGCACGTACTTACACTCTAGTGACATAAGACAATTATTACTCAATTGACTCACTTACCTGGCTGTCCATAAACCAAAATTCGCTTTAGCGCAGAAAGAGAACCTCTACTGCCAAAAATCTCAGTGTAGTGGTTAAGTTTTTCTTGTGTTACTCCACTGGGTCTCCTGTGATCCTTGACCCAAGACAAGTCTGTGTAGATCTCATCAATATCAACAGCAGCATTCTGGTCCCATGGAATGATTTTGACCTTGCTACTGGTTTCATAAAGTGATCGCAGCTGTTTCTGGCACTCCTCAAGGCATACAGCATCTGTTAACAAGAATTTTTCGTCAATTCCAAAAAGTTTTTCTAATAGTTTATCGTAGTTGATTGACTTCACTAGCAGTTCTTACCAGGAATGACAGACAGTCAATTTACAGAAACATGAATAATTTAGAGAAAATAGCACGTGGATGAATGATTGCTAGAAATAAAATGTTAATGTTAGGTACAACAAAGAAATGCTGAAAATCCGATCCCTTAGCAGGAATCAAACCCACAACCTTCCAGATACAAGTAGGATGCTAGAACCAAGGAGCTATCGGCGACGCATATGGTGAGCAGGTCACAGGTTGTTTTGTTGAGGTTACATGTAGGGTGTAGGTGGGTGGGTGGGTGGGTGGGTGGATAGATAGACTAAGACCATACCATAACACCAAAAAGTGTGAGAGTGGACCCTCCCTCTACAACATTATTTTCAATTTTGTAAATTTCGCTAGACAGTTGAATTATTGAAATAATTCATGACAAACAAAGCTGAAAAAAGACAGGAATGTTTTCAAGAAGTTTCACTTCTTGAAAACATGTCTCACCAAAAAGAAGGCAACTAAATCCCCAAGATAAGGAAAAATTGGGGCAGGGAAAGCGATATAGAAGTAGGGAGGAGAGAAGGGAACAGGGGAAACTGAGTTGAGAAGGCTGTGTCACTTTTCAAAACAACACTTCTATTTAACATAAGGAACAAAAGGCAGCGTACGTAGTGTTAAAGTTAACGCATTTTAGGAAGTTTTGGATCTTTTTGACCAGATAGTGAGTAGAGAATGGATCAGCATGCTTCTAGCGGCATTTTTCTGCAAAATTTCTAAGAAAAATAAAGGAGTTATAAATATCAGGCAAAAATAGGCTGCTCTCTTGTCAAAGACATATCTCACAACTGGTAAGAAAACATGATGGTGCTCTAAGATGCGGCAAACAACTATATCTAAAGTCTAGTGTTTATTCTACTGAAACCAGTGTTCAATCATTTGATCTGGAAAAACTCCTGGATAGTGTAATTACATTGACAGAATATTACCTGGTATCTGTTTGTCTGGCTTTGTGGTTGTCTCTGGGTGATTCTTTGCTGTCAAGTAAAGAAGAAAAGTATTATAAATTTGAAAAGCCCTAAAAATAATTTTTTTCTTGCCCTTTGATTTTGATATTTCAATGTTAATATATGATTTCAGTTTGAAATAGAGACAAAGATTTGAACCAAGGGTAATATTGAACCAGTTTACCCAAAAATATCTGAAAAGAAAATTCATCGCTATTAATAGTCAGTCTCTTAGAACAAGCAGGGATGTGACATACCTTCATAGTGAGGCCATTCTTTAAAAACAACAGGATCATTTAACATGTTGGACACAACAGAAGCTGCCATAATGGAAGCAAATGACTTCCAAGACTCATCAGGAGTGTTGTTATCATCAGAAAAGTGTGATATCCCTTTAACAATCACCCATTCAATGTTCATATCATGGGCTGCAGCAAACAGTCCTATAAGTGGAAAGAACAAACAGACCGGCATACAATATGAAAATGATCCTTATTCAATCCACTGTGAAGAAGAATCTAGAGGAGATAAAAGCTCAGATTTTTCTCTGCAGTGTAGTGACTAAAACTTTTTAATCTTTTAAGCTTAATAATTTATGTTCCCTGCGCAATAATTGTAAAGTACATCCCCAGAATAACCTGCTCACACACCATTGGTCCTATATCCCCATGGTCAAACATGGCTGGCGGTAATTATATAGGTACTCAGTGGTTCTGCCATAGTTACAAGAGGTTGCCGAAAAGGACAGTTTAAAGTTGTAGACCTCAAATCGAATGCTACATCAAATTGTTTCAATAGTTATATGCATCTAATCTTACCTTCCCCTTCCCCTTCAACTGCAATCTCGCAAGATTGAGACATGCGGCGTTGTTTGGTGATGAATTGACTACCACTGAATATGACACTGTCACGGTGTACCCGTACTGTTTTTTCCCCTACTGGATCTTTTAATGGTGGATTCCAGCCTTCATTTGAAGACAAGTTAAGATTGCCAATATTTCTTCTCACTGGAGTTGTGAATTGTTCAGTTGAAAGTTTAGAGGATACCACTACATCTCCTAGCTTAGTATCTTCTGGGTTTAAACCTATGCATTCGCCTACGGAAAAAACAGCCTTGGGTCTCAGTTGCATCACTGCATTTTTAATAACATTTTGAGAGCCACCTGGACCAGAAGAACCTTTACAACATCTCATTAACGCAACTTTCAGTGCCTCAGCTTCTCCGCTTTCACCCATGGTCCCAAAGTAAACGTATCCCAGGGTCTGGTGATAACTTTTAAAAGAATTTTCCAAGAAATAATAACAAGCTAAAAACTCGATGTCTTCTAATGTCAACAGGAGAATGTCAACAGGAAGCTGGACATCACTCCAAGGGTTTGACTTGTTTGGAAGATCTCTCATTTTAGGCACTTCAATACTTAGAGGAGGAGGAGGAGGAGGAGGAGGAGGGGCATGATTTCTTGACATCTGATGATCAGGATCAGCACCTCCTTTTCTTTTAAGGTCTTGATGCTGTGCCATGGAGTCTCAGTTAAAGATTTACCTAAAGTATGTAAATATATAATTGATCTATAAAGTTGTAATAAAAAATTAAACAGTCAAACAATCATTGTCGCAGCTATTTATGTAGAGTAAAAACCTTTCGATATATAAGTGGACATCACTGTGGCCAGGAAAAGTGTCCACCTATACAGGTAAGAGATCGAGGTGTTCACATATGTGACAAACTGTCTAAAAATATGGAGTGTTTGTTTACAAATTACAGTGCAACCACCTTGAGATGAATTTTGAAGTTAGTCTTAAGTCGTGATCTAAACAATAAAATTCTTCACTGATGGAGTACACGGTGGAACCTCGATATAACGAACCTCTATGTACTATAACGAAGTCCTCGGTTTAACGAAAGATATTCTTCACCCTTTATGAAAAAGAACCTTGATCGATATAACGAAATCTCGTTATAGCGAACCATTTTGCCTGTCTCTTGGCCCTTCGTTATATCTAGGTTCCACTGTATTTGACGTTTTAGCAAGTTCCTTTCCACTTGAGTTTAAAAAATGAAAGAAGAAACTAAAAATGGAAGAGAAAAAAAACTAACTTGAACGAGAGGATTTCGCTTTGGATTAATCGAAATTGGCCATGAGATTTGTAAGTAAGTGGCCCGGTGCGACTATCTGTCTATCGGCCTGTCTATTCCTAATATAATTCATTGTTTTGTAAAAAGAAGGAAGTGCGACATACTACACGCAAACGTTGATCTTCAGTCTGTTTTAAATTTTTTAAACACCAAGGCTGCGCTTTTTGGGAGAATCCAAAACGGAATGATATGTGTAACTTATGGCTCAGAGTTAAGGCTAGACTTGCCTACAAGTCGACCTCAAAATTTTCTGGAGCGTAAAAGGCCGAGCTAGAAATTTTTATGTTTTCGGCGTGGACAGAAGCGAAGGGCTTTGAGAAAGTCTAAGTTAAGGCGCCACCAACATAGGAATATCATACATCACATCTGTTGTGTAGCATTTTTGTCCGGAAAACCGCTTGTCAAAAATACTTTTTTCAAATCCAAAAAAAAAAAGAAACCGGCTCAGATTGTGAATCTCAAAATTTGATCTGAGAAATCCACCCAGAGTGTGGATTGATTTTTATGGATTCACGATTCATTTTTGGATTTGCCCAAAAGAAGGCAAAATACGTCTTTGGATTCGGAAATCAAGGTTTGGATTTTCCCCTAAGAAGATGAAAATCTATGCTGTTCATGAGGTGCATGCGATTATTAAGAAAGCCCGTCCGCGAGGCTGGCAGGAAGTCTGAACTAAAAATGGAGCGGAAAACTAATTTTTTCGGTGATTTCTTTGCTTACACGATACGTACTTCCTGTGTTTCAACGCAGTTGTTGATTATATATATGATTGAAAATTTATATGTTAATAGAGTCATGTTGATTTGCAGATTCAATTACGACACTTGATATGCATATGACATATATACGCAGAATCGCGCGACGTTTGAGACAACAAAGCAATAAGAGTGTAGATTTATAAGTCTTTTTTGCTTCATTTTAAAATTGTTGCATTTTATTCGAACGACATAATATTGGATCTGAGTGTTCAGAAGCGAAACAGAAGCGACAAGCCTATGATTATTTTTAAGAAGTCTTTAAAGAGGTCAAGACTTGTGACGGCAGTAAAAACCTGTAGCGAATAAGAACCTAGATTTTTCCAACGTAGCCTAAATATGTTCTTGTAGAGATCGTATTTAGTGGGATTTTAGGCTACTTAGGTTCTTAAATAGGCTCTCCAGTAGTTTGATAAGGGCACTAGCGATCAGCACAGTCAGATAATTACTACAGTGAAACCTATATTAAGTGGGCACCCTTGGAGAATGCTGTAGTGTCCGCTTAATACAGGGTGTCCGCCTAATACGGGTTTCGATAGATAACGCCATGAGGTGTAAAATGCCATTCAAATGAACAATGGAAACGTTTAGAATACTCCCAGAGTCTATATCACTATACACATGAAAAGAAAGTTTATGTCCAAGAATGTAAATATCAGGGACTTGCTAGAGAAGGTGGACAAGACACTCTACAAAAAAAGATCGAATGACCCCGAATATCCGTTCTTCCAGTTTTTACCTAAGGAAAAGAACACGAGGTACAATCTTAGAAATACGTCAGTCTCTGTCCCTAGAATCTACACTGACAGGTTTAAGAACGTTTTTAGTAACAGAATAATTTTTAGATATGATATGTAAATAGTTTTTTGAGTTTATATTGTAACTTAGGATATGTAATTTTATCTTAAGAAATAAAGATTATTATTATTATTATTATTATTATTATTAATTTCTTTATTAAAGAGGACCAATTGATCATAGTACCATAAACACAGGGGCGGATCCAGGATTTTTTTTAGGAGGGGGTGCACTCGTCTCTTGCTCTACTTCAACACCAATAAACCACATAGTTTTTTTTTGCAGAATACCAGTTGTATTAGAAAACCGCAGGTCATCTCAGGGGGAAGGGGGGGTGCGCACCCCCTGCACCCTCCCCCTAGATCCGCCCCTGAAACATTGATGGTTTTCACGCTGACGTCATCAGATTGCAAAGTCAAAAAAGCGAGGTTTTACGAATTCTTATTTACACTAGGTTGAAGATTAATAGGAAATAAATCTTTGTACAAGTTTCCAGCCCCGAAGCATGTTTCATTTCGAAAATACAGCAGTTTGAACTTCCGAGTTTTCACACTGCGTGACACCAAAAAAGGAATGCTATCTCCTTGAAAAAAGTCTCTCCGCTTGATTTTCAGCAGTTTAACCATTTCAAGTATTAGAAGATATGTTTATGCGCAAGTATGCTAGTTCTCGAGTGAAAAGGAGGAGCTTTTATAGAAAAAGTGAACTCCAGATGTTTTTGTTGATTTCCGGCGGCCATATTGGTGGACAGTTTCTGTCCACCAATATGGCGTCTCCATACAAAGCTCTACAAAGGTGCGTGAAATGTTTCGACAAATAACTCAGAAACTGTGGGCCACAAAGACCTTCTTCCACTGGACGGTTTCCAATGTATTTTTTTGTGCCGTGTTTATTGCGTGACAGTGAAAACGAAGAATAGATGGCAACTCAAATTTGAAGAATTCAGATGAGTAACAAGCTCTATACAAACAAAACGAAACAGAAAACAATGCTGAAATGTGAAACTAATCAAATTTTTCTCTCAAGTCACGTTTTTTAGTGTAAAAATCGAAAAATTTGTGGGTGGCAATCTTTCGCATTTCCGGTGTCTGGCATGTTGGGTGGTGAAATTCAATTGCAAGTGTCCGTTTAATACAGGTTGGCAACAATAGAAATGACCATTTCAGGTACTTTTTAGGTGTCCGCGTCCGCTTAATAGAGGTGTCCGCTTAATAAAGGTTCTATTTAAAGTAAATAAGGGAAATAAATTTGGGGACTTCGGCTACTGTCCGCTTAATAGAGGTTGTCCACTTAATACGGTGTCCTCTTAATACAGGCTTCACTGTACTGGGTTGTAAGGAGAGATTTTCCATGTATTCTTTATCTGCCTCGAATTTCATATCTAGCATTTAAATATTCCTTTTGAAGTTGTTTTAGCCTTAATTTACATTGAATTTGCATTGAGTTGTTTTAGTTCCCTTAAATTATGCACTTTTGACTTCAATGTTGAAAGCATGATTTGTTTTTGGATAATTATACAGCTTAGTCACTGAACAACTGGATCTTTCCCCTGTTCAAATACCAACCGTTTTAGTTTTTTTCATTTTGAGGGATCCTGAGCAAAGGAAACCTGAAGTTCTTTTACACAGCTTTTAATTACCGCTGAGTTTCCGAAATTCATTTCCTTGACTGACCTTTAATTTTGAGTCGTCTTATTTTTTATATATGAACTTTAAAGCTGAATTTATCCAGATTCGTTTTCAGTGTTCAGCTGATTTTATTCAGCCTTTTTTCCATTTGTTTTGTGATGTTGTAATAAGTTGGTCTGTTAGTATAACTAGAGCACGGTTATCCCTGGTTTTCGATTTTACATTGTAGATTTACATGCATGTATATGATTTACGTTCACGAGCTGAAGATCAAACTGTTGAAGTCCAAGTTTGAGTGCTGTCCTGTTTCCCAGTTTTAGCAGTTCCTAGTACGGCCGTGGAACAGCGACGAGTTCCTTTCCCGCTAGCCACGCGAGTTGCAGAGTTAGTTTTCCCCCTTTGTTGTTCACACGCCGAAGACGCTCGAATTCTGTTAACAGGGGCACCCAACGAACATTTTTCTGAAAATGAGCCGTTAACTACAGAAAACGAAAATTTAGATGCTTTGAAGGCATTTTCAAGCGCTTTTCTGTGTCGCTGGAAAGAAGTTATCTGTTCCTCACTCCCTGCAGGTTAGATGGCTATTCTCCCAGCCAGCAGAGTGGCCTTCTCCATGTTTACGAGCCAGCAGAAAAAAATATCTGTATTCAAATAAGCGCCGCAGGGTTGCTTGGAAATTGCGGCGCTGATTCGAGTATATACGGTCAAAATAAATAACACACAGCCTTATCTCTCGCTTGTCAACCAAGAATAACAACAACTACAATGGTAATGAAAAAGGAACGTCACTAAGCCTTCCCTAGATGTACCTTTTGTGAATCCTATTCAGTCCAACTTGAATATAATACATCAGGCTGTTTAATAGGTCCTTACCTTTTGCATAAACATGAATCTCATGAATCGTCCTAACCGCCAGTGAACCGTTGCCAGTTATCCAGTGGCGGAGCGTAGCCTAATTTCGAATTTCTAACAACGGTGCCCACGTGCAGATTTTTTGATCAGCGGTAAATAAATCATCAGCGCGCACAATTCGCGCACAAAGAGGAGCCACCTGAGAGGAGCCGATTACTCCTGATACCCAGCTGGATATACACCCAAGAAAAATTTCTAACAAATTAGAGGGATAAAATATCTCCAGCAAGAATTTTTGATACATTTGATAAATTCTTGACCGCAGATTTAAGACTTTACTTCCCAGCAGAA